TCACTCACTGCTGTTCATCCTTAGAAGAAGTCAGTGGGGCAGTAGTTTCTCTTTTTCTGGAAGACTGGCCTTTGGAGAATATGCCTCCAGCCGTAGTTCTCTTCTGGGCTGACTTCTTAAGGGCCCAGCCCTGTCTACCTATATTTTTATCTAACTTAGCTACTTATAATACAACCACTATCCTCCCTGCTCCTATGGGCTGTTGACTGTCCTGAGTGTCCTTCCAATGTCCTAAAGGCTTCCCTGCACCTGGCTTCTCCCCAGGGCTTGACTCCCAATCCAGGCTCTGTCCATTATACTCTTTTTTTTTTTTTTTTTTTTTTTTCCCTACACGTTGCTCTTTTTTTTTTTTTTTTGGCAGAACCTGGGCTTGAACTCAGGCCCTTGTGCTTTCCTGGCAAGCAATTATTCTCCTGAGCCGTCTTCCTGGCCCAGGCACTGTCTACTATAGCCCCATTCTTTCCCCAGAGGCTGCTTCTGTCTTCTTTGTCCATGTGTTCACTAAGGACCTACTGTGTGCTGGCCACTTCCATAAAGATTATCCCAAGTAATCAGTGCAGTACATCAAGATGTCCCACTTTACAAGTAAGAAAACTAAGGCCCCAGGAGAAGAGAGGACCCCAGCCATCTCCAGAGCGGAGTCCTCCGGCAGAGGGAAGCAGGCAGTCAGATGTTTCCAAGGAGCGGTGCAGTCTGAGCAAACCTGAAAAAGGAAGAAGATTGTGACACACAGGATTTGCCCAAGACTGGGGCACTGAGATCCACTCAATCAGGGGAACCCAACGGATTGGCAGGGCCAAACAGAAATGTTCAACAGAGCTGGAACACTTAGAAAACCCTCCAGAGCAGAAAGCCTGGACAAGAATGCCTCCCTGGAAGCTACTGACCAAGGTGGGTGGCATTTCTGGGACACGACCTTCATAGACATCTCCAAGGCCAGTGGAGAGACAGACCCCGGGGCCAGTGGCAGCCAAGCGGGACAAACCCCAGGCATCATGGTCAAGGACTCGCTCTCCTTCCAGGAGCCTCCCAGGGCGCAGCACTCCCTGCTCCACTGCCCGCAGCCCTTGCAGCGGTCCTCTGTGGCCGGGGCTGGTGTGCCCCAGCGAAGCCTGTGTGTACCCACATGCTCACGTGCGTGTGCCTGAGCAGTGCCAACATGGGCCTGTCTGACTCCTTCCTGGGGCCCAGCAGAGAGCTGCTGCAGCTCAGGCCTTCCACAGGGTGCCTGCCTAGCTCTGCCTGGGGCTCCTGGAATGCCACCAGTCACCTCAGGCACACAAGCCCTGGCTGACTCGAGGCTTTTGTAGAAGTCTTCTGTGTGTAAGAATAACTAAGGAGCCCAGGGACTGAAGAAGGGCCCCTGGTTGTTAGGCCAACTTAGAGGAAGGCCAGAGGGAGCGACACCTCAGGGAACACCCCCACCCCATGCCCACCGCATGTGTCCCAGGTGATCTGGCCTCCTGTGCCCTCCCACCTCTGCACCCATTAACGAGGCTGAGGCAGAGAGCTCATCACTGCTTCTGTCCCGCGAGGCTCTGCCAGGTGCCCACTGCTGACCCTCAAGTGACTTTTCTGCTTTCTGGCCTTAACACTGGGCTGCACGTTCCCCAAGCTTGGCACTTCGTGTCTGTTTTCTCTCATTACTGAGACAAAATACCCTGCTCCCCAAATGAGGGAAGGCAAGGTTTATTTTGCTGTCTGTGGAGGTTTCAGTCCATAATCAGCTTGCTTCAAGGCAGGCTGGCATGAAAGAAGACGGCGGCGGCAGCAAGAGCAGCAGGGGAAGCAAGCCTCTCTTCCCTTGTGCTGGACGCAGGCTCCTGGCCTGGGGTGGGTGCAGCACGAACCACCTCGATGCCCTCCTCTGGATGTTTAAAAATGAGGACTCTGGCCCCCTGCTGAGTTATTTAATTAAGCTTCTAAACTTCTCAAGTTGACACAATGTTTATTTATTATTATTATTATTATTTTCTGTATTTTAGGGAAGGGGCTACAGAGTGTTCACGGTCTCACTACTAGATCGCACTCATAGTGATCCGCCTGTCCACAGCCTCCCAAGTGCTGGGATTACAGGTGCGTGCCAATCTCAACCGCTGCCTCAGCACACCCTGGGGGACAGGGCTGGCATGGCAGGCCCGGGGATCCAGCCTCTGGTCCCTGCGCTGCTCGCGGGTGCTTTAATCCACTGAGCGATGTGGCTGGCCCCCATGTTGACACAATGAATGACATCCTAGAGCAGGAAGGGCATGTCCTCTACAGCTCAGGACCTACAACTGCTGAGTTACTTAGTTGAGCTTCTAGCTTCTAGTGTATCTACCATTACAGCACAGAAAAGGGGGTCTGGGAGCTTCCGGAGGGAGGGGCCTGCTGACACAGGACCCACCTTTCTGTGCTTGGAGGGACGACGCAGCCCAGGGCGGGTCCCAGGGCCCTTCCTACCAGTAGCCAGCCCTGCAGCCACATCCCACAAGTGATGAAAGACTTTCCAAGGCACCACTCACATAGACCCCCCCAAGCCCCACGGTAGCTGGGTCCCAGATTTGTAACCCAGACTGCCCAGCCCAAGCTCCAGGTGTCCACAGGGCTTAGGTGCGCAGGCTGTGACCTTGGAAAAAGCGGACAGAAACCAGGGCCGTGTGTGTCCACACAAGCCTGGGAAGGCACACTAGGGACTGTGCCCAGGCTGTGGGACTGGCGAGCTTCCACTCCAAAAGAGACCCGGCTTGGAAGGGTGATTGCTAAAGAGGGGATGTGTTGCAGGGCTTGTGCCTCAGAAGCTGCTGCATCTGAACAGGGCAGTGGAGGCGCTGGGGTCCTGCTGCCTCTGTCCTCCTCAGAGAGGGTGGCCAGCAGCCCCGTCCCATCACAGAAAGGCAAAACTGCCTGTCTCTCCCCCACCCCCATCTCCCTCTGATCTTGCTTCAGGAAGAGGAGCTCAGCAGTTTCAGTGCTATATGCCATGCCTGGCACATAGTAGGCACTCAAGAAATGCTACTGGCCCACAGTGCTGTGAGGGCTCCTGTACAGGTAGTTCAAAACTGCATGCCCAGCTCTGCCACCTGGCAGCCCCGAGTCTCAGTCCTCTCACGCAAACCCACGTCAGAGCCTGCAGCAGTACTGAGCGCGAACTCTTGTCATGTAAGTGATCGATATATATATAAAATCTTAAAGACAGCCAGGGGTCAGGGTGGCTCTTTATAATAATCTGCTCTCAAGAGACCCACAGGAATCCCTTGGGAGGGCTGGTGATGCCTCCAGGGACCTAACCACCTCCCTCCCACTAGGCATCACCTTTCAAGAGATTCCCCACCTCTCAAAACTAACACCCTGAGGACCAGGCCTCATACTTCCTTTGGAAGATAAACCATATCAAAATTGCAGCAAGCTTGCATGCAAGACAGGCTCTTTCAGGCATCTCTCTCTGCATGGGAATTTTGGAAGTGTGCCCATCAGCGGCCTGGGCAGCAACCCCTCTGGTCTGCGCATCTGAGGAAGAGAAAGAAGCTAAAACCCTGAGCCGTGAGATGAGGTCAGAGAGACGGCCTGGAAGGTGTGCTAGGCGTTTGCTTTTCTATTGAGAAATGAGAAGCTAGCAAACCTTGGTGTGGGGAATGCCAGGCTCCTGTGGCCCTGGCAGTGCCTGTTTATACGGTCAGTCCTTGGCACTGCCGGACTGCCTCGCAAAGCAAGGGCTTCACACTGTCCATGGGGCAATGCCGGGGCCTGGTTCTTGGTAAAATGCAAAGGAGTTTTAGGTTTGCTTAGTTTTTGTTATTTTGCACCAGAAAACATGAAAGAATGATATGCAGGGGTGGAAGGACAGCTCGATGGTGTGAGCACTGGCCTGTCAAGCACAAGGACCTGGGTTTGATCCCTGGTACTGTGCTGGCCCCAGAACCCTGGGTGCTGGCCAGCATGGTGGCACATGTTTGTAATCCCAGCACTAGAGAGGCTGAGACAGGAGGATCACTACAAATCCGAGCTGTGTAGTGAGACCCTGTACCAAATAAATGAATTAAAAAAAAAAAAAAAAAAAAAAGATATGCAACTCAAAGTGAAATTAGGGTTAAAACTTTGCAGATTTCTATTTTTGAGCCAGTAAACACATCATTTGTGCATGTCACACTATCTTAGAATTTTGAACGAATCCAGAGAAGGACAGGGATAAGAAAAAAAAAAAAAAAGCTTTTACTTAATAAACTTTTTTTTTTGTATTTTAGGGAAGGGTCTACCGGGTGTTCATGGTCTCACTGCTAGTAGTGACCCACCTGTTTACAGCCTCCCAAGAGCTGGGATTACAGGTGTGCGCCACCACGCCCAGTCTCAATTGCCTTCTCAGCACACCCCAAGGGTGGGGCTGGCATGGTAAGCCTGAGAGTTGAACCCCTGGCCCCTGTGCCTGCTTGCAGGTGCTTTAATCTGCTGAGCTATCCGGCCAGCCCTTAATAAACTCTTAACACGAACAAGACGTCTTTTTACTTTCTTGATGCCAAGACATAATACCTGACATCTGTAAATTAAAAGGAGAGGTTTATTTTGGCTCAAAGTTGTAAAGATTTCAGTCTATAGCTAGCTGGCTCCAAGGGGGTGGCATGGAGGACAAGCGTGGTGCAGGAGAAACAGCCCACGGCAGGGCAGGCAGGAAGCAGCGGGGGCTGACACGCTCCCCTCATGGTCTGGCCACCTCCCAGAGCCCACCTCATACGAGTGCATGAGGCATTAGGGGACATCTAGATATAAACCACAACACGAGACTAGGGAAGAAAGCTTCAATTGTGTGTTCAGACTGCATATAACATTTCATGGAGGGGCCAGGGAGATAGCTCAGTAGCATAAGCGCTTGCCTGGCAAGCACAAGGGCCTGAGTTCAATCCCTGGTTCTGGGGGAAAAAAAACAAAACATTTCATGGTACAGTATCAATTTAAATGCACTGAATTAATATTTGAAGTGCCCATTATTCATTTAACACTATTCCACATTCAAAAGATCCCCTTCCATGCTCGCTTCGGCAGCACATATACTAAAACTAGAACGATACAGAGATTAGCATGGCCCCTGCTCAAGGATGAAAGGGTGACACTCAAATTTGTGAAGCGTTTCATACTAAAAAAAAAAAAAAAGATCCCCTTCCCCCACGAAACACAAAACTATTGTCTTTGAATAACATTTCATTGTATTTGGATGCTTCAGTCATTCCAGGGCTCATTTTATTGGCTCTTAACATTTAGACGTTGTGATCTGGCCCCAAATCACGAAGCTACATGTGCACCCTGGACCTGAGCTGGCCGCTGATTTCAGCCTCTTCCCCTTCCTCCTCCCCTCTGTGGAGTTTTCCAGATTCTATGAGCTCTACCAGCTGCTTCAGTAGAGGCACATGCATACCCCAAGTGGGAGTAGCCCCAACTCTACTTCTACAAATATGATACAGGAGAAAAAAAGAAAATCAATCTCAAAAACACTAGGCTTTATATACCCAAGGGCTTTCAAATATTTGTTCTTCAACCCAGCAATTACATTTCTGAGAATCTGCCAGAAATGAGCTAAATTCAAAATACTATGCATGTGAGACACAGTCTCCCTACCTCAGAAAAAAAAAAGAAAGAAAAAGAAAATAACCCAAAATGCACAGTGGTTGAGGGAGTAAAGGACTGGAGAATTCTGAGATAGAATTTGTTATGTGTGTACAGAAATCTGAGAAATGCTGCTAATGATGACATTTTACCACATTTGAAACATCACTAAAAAAAAAAAAGGGGGGGGCGGGGAGATGGCTCAGTAGAATAAACACTTCCCTGCTAAGCGCAAGGGCTTGAGTTCAATCCCCGATTCCACAAAAAAAAAAAAAAAAAAAAAAAAAAAATCACTGATTTTAACACAGGACACTATTTCACATAGCACAAAAGGAGGAAAAAATAGCCAAGAGACCTCTAAGGAGAGCTGGGACCACTGAGGGCTATTTCTGTCATGAGGAGAATGATGAACCACATGGTTACAAAGTCAGACAGAAAGCCCCCAGGCCTCTGCCATGGTCCCAGGTACAGTGAGGGACACCATTACTCTAGCTTGCGAATAGACGAGTACTCACGGCCTTGCGCCCACACATGCACAAAGATGTCTGAAAACACTGCTAGCAAAGCCTGCAACTGAGATGAGGCTTAATATGAAGTCGTTTCAAGGTGGTAGAGCCCCAGGTGACAGAGCACACACAAGCCCCCTCTGGAAGAATCCGATTTCAACACAGGCTGACACGGCCTATCATTTTTTTTTTTTT